ACCATCATGGTGCGTTGCCATCTTCGTGGCACGCCAGCACCATCATGGTGCGTTGCCATCTTCGTGGCACGCCAGCACCATCATGGTGCGTTGCCATCTTGGTGGCACGCCAGCACCATCATGGTGCGTTGCCATCTTGGTGGCACGCCAGCACCATCATGGTGCGTTGCCATCTTGTGGCACGCCAGCACCATCATGGTGCGTTGCCATCTTGGTGGCACGCCAGCACCATCATGGTGCGTTGCCATCTTGGTGGCACGCCAGCACCATCATGGTGCGTTGCCATCTTCGTGTCACGCCAGCACCATCGTGGGAAATAGACATCAAGTGATTTGTAGGCTCAGGGGTTAAAGCCTACGGTTCACAACACAAAGGTCAAGGGTTCGATCCTCGGGCGCTATAAGAATTATGATGATGAGAACATCGACCTTCACCTCTGACATTCAGTAGTGACTGACCAGCATTAATGAGACTATAGAGTTCACTTTCTAGGTATATTTACTGACAGGCCCAGACTCACGCACGACAGCGTGCAACGTACTCGACCCCCTGGAACAAAAATAGGGGAGTACACATAGGCACACACACACACACACACACACACACACACACACACACACAGAAGGAAGTCAACAGCGAGAGAAAAGATAAAATATATTTAACCTAACCATTATGCCAAGACTATTCCCTCCAGCTCAGATAAACAGAACACAGTTCATCCTCCTCATCAACGTCAGTATATCACTTCGGCCGAGAATGTCAAATGAGTGTCTGTGACACGAAATAAATCGTGGTTTTTTGACTGTCGATTTTACCAGGTGCTTGACTGGTCTCCGGTGTGTGACTGCTTGGCTGGTCTCCGGTGTGTGACTGCTTGGCTGGTCTCCGGTGTGTGACTGCTTGGCTGGTCTCCGGTGTGTGATTGCTTGGCTGGTCTCCGGTGTGTGATTGCTTGGCTGGTCTCCGGTGTGTGACTGCTTGGCTGGTCTCCGGTGTGTGACTGCTTGGCTGGTCTCCGGTGTGTGATTGCTTGGCTGGTCTCCGGTGTGTGATTGCTTGGCTGGTCTCCGGTGTGTGACTGCATGACTGGTCTCCGGTGTGTGACTGCTTGGCTGGTCTCCGGTGTGTGACTGCTTGGCTGGTCTCCGGTGTGTGACTGCATGACTGGTCTCCGGTGTGTGACTGCTTGGCTGGTCTCCGGTGTGTGACTGCTTGGCTGGTCTCCGGTGTGTGACTGCTTGACTGGTCTCCGGTGCGTGACTGCTTGGCTGGTCTCCGGTGTGTGACTGCTTGACTGGTTTCCGGTGTGTGACTGCTTGGCTGGTCTCCGGTGTGTGACTGCTTGGCTGGTCTCCGGTGCGTGACTGCTTGACTGGTTTCCGGTGTGTGACTGCTTGGCTGGTCCCGGTGCGTGACTGCTTGACTGGTTTCCGGTGTGTGACTGCTTGGCTGGTCTCCGGTGCGTGACTGCTTGACTGGTTTCCGGTGTGTGACTGCTTGGCTGGTCTCCGGTGTGTGACTGCTTGACTGGTTTCCGGTGTGTGACTGCTTGGCTGGTCTCCGGTGCGTGACTGCTTGGCTGGTCTCCGGTGCGTGACTGCTTGACTGGTTTCCGGTGTGTGACTGCTTGGGCTGGTCTCCGGTGTGTGACTGCTTGGCTGTCTCCGGTGTGTGACTGCTTGGCTGGTGTCCGGTGTGTGACTGCTTGGCTGGTCTCCGGTGTGTGACTGTTTGGCTGGTGTCCGGTGTGTGACTGCTTGGCTGGTCTCCGGTGTGTGACTGCTTGGCTGGTCTCCGGTGTGTGACTGCTTGGCTGGTCTCCGGTGTGTGACTGCTTGGCTGGTCTCCGGTGTGTGACTGCTTGGCTGGTGTCCGGTGTGTGACTGCTTGGCTGGTGTCCGGTGTGTGATTGCTTGGCTGGTCTCGGGTGTGTGATTGCTTGGCTGGTCTCCGGTGTGTGACTGCTTGGCTGGTGTCCGGTGTGTGACTGCTTGGCTGGTCTCCGGTGTGTGACTGCTTGGCTGGTGTCCGGTGTGTGACTGCTTCGCTGGTCTCCGGTGTGTGACTGCTTGGCTGGTCTCCGGTGTGTGACTGCTTGGCTGGTCTCCGGTGTGTGACTGCTTGGCTGGTCTCCGGTGTGTGACTGCTTGGCTGGTGTCCGGTGTGTGACTGCTTGGCTGGTGTCCGGTGTGTGATTGCTTGGCTGGTCTCCGTGGTGATTGCTTGGCTGGTGTCCGGTGTGTGACTGCTTGGCTGGTGTCCGGTGTGTGACTGCTTGGCTGGTGTCCGGTGTGTGACTGCTTGGCTGGTCTCCGGTGTGTGACTGCTTGGCTGGTCTCCGGTGTGTGATTGCTTGGCTGGTCTCCGGTGTGTGACTGCATGGCTGGTCTCCGGTGTGTGATTGCTTGGCTGGTCTCCGGTGTGTGACTGCTTGGCTGGTCTCCGGTGTGTGATTGCTTGGCTGGTCTCCGGTGTGTGACTGCATGGCTGGTCTCCGGTG